CCTGAACCCTGAACCCTGAACCCTGAACCCTGAACCCTGAACCCTGAACCCTGAACCCTGAACCCTGAACCCTGAACCCTGAACCCTGAACCCTCACCCCTGAACCCTGAACCGTATATTCTGAACCTTGAACCTTGAGAAGCAACGGCAGCCTAAAATCGAAACCTGAAAACCGAAAACCGAAAAACCGAAACCCCTTTTGCAACCCGAAACCCCTTTTGCAACCCGAAACCCCTTTTGCAACCCGAAACCAGGACTGGGATATCTCGGTCAACGCTGCTGGAGAGGAGTCGAGCTGTCCTATGGTAATCTCCGCAAACGTATTCATTAATTGCGTGTGGGTAACGAAATTTACTACACGATTGGGTCATACTAGTAATAGTAGAGCTTTTGTGTAGTAAATTTCGTTGCGCCAAAAGCAATTGATGAATGCTTTTGCGGAGATGAATGATCTGGCGCCCCCCTTCTGGGTGAAGCGGCTGAAACCCTAAGCCCCCTAAACCCCAAACCATCTGTAGGCCACGAAACAAATCCAACAATGGCAAATTTTGATGGCTTTCTTACCAGCATTGTCATCGTGTGGCGTTGTTTTGTGGTTTCGGTGTGGGCAACAGATGCAAAGACCGCGCTACTTAAGCTCAGTGGATCTACTCCACGCGACGATGGCCTGTGTATCAAATCGGCCTGTTTGCAAAGTCAACTCGCCCACAAGTCTGTCAACTTTGCGTGGATTCCGACCAAAAATACTTTTAGTAGTGCAGAAATAATGGAAAGTCGTAATAGATTTGATACGCAGGTTGTCGTCGCGTGGCGGTATCTGCACGACACGGGTTCATAACCTGATGTTTCCCGACACCCGGCACCCGAGACCCGTAGCCCCCCTAGGACACCCTACCGTAGGGCCCTAGCACCTGACGAGCCTATGACAAGCGAGTTGTCATAGGCTCATAACCTTACAGCATTGGTGCCCTTAGAGCCTATCCCCTCCATCCCCCCCACACACACTTGCTTGATCCCAGGGGCGACATACGGTATGGTGAAAGAAGATCCACCCTGGAGGGAACTCTGAAGCAAATTGGATCTTTTCTTGGGTAGATTTTCAGAGAAATGTACTGCGATTCCAGTACATTCCCTTGAAACTCTACCCAAGAAAAGGACCAGTTTGGTCCAGCGTTCCCTCCAGGGAGGTGGAATTTCGGGAGGACACTCCTAGGCTCGTGTCCAACAAAGTTGTGCCAGAAAAGGCCTTCAAGTCAACTTTCCCCGGGGCAAGTTGACTTTGAAAAAAGACTCCGTCCAGTCGACTGTGTGGGCTGGCCTGACTGATGTACACGTATCTGTACAGAGTTTAGGACCAGATGGGAAAGCTGTGAAGCAGGGGGGCGTAGAGCGCAGCTCCAGCATGGGCAGGCAGCGAGGCGTCAACTTACGCGCGTAACTTAAGCCGCGCGCCTGGCCCAGCACTCCACACCCCCGATTGCGTTCGTTTGGAATGATGCGGTTGTTTTGGTGGCCACCAGAGCTGAAAACCGCTGTGTCCCCCTAAACCCTAAACCCTCCACCAGCCCTCCCAAGTGGCTCAAATAGTGCCCTGGAAGGTCTTTGAATTTACCTTGCATCGGGGTCGGATCCGACCCCGATCCAAGGTAAATCGAACATGCCCCAGAGCACTATTTGAGCCACCTTGAGGGGCTAGTGGCTGTGGTGCTAGTTTGGCAAGCTTCCAGCCCTGATGGGCTTTTTTGGGACCTGAAGCGGATCAAATCTCCTCTACGCTCACCCCCTTTTCAGACTTTGAAAAATTTCAGGCCCCGAAAGGGGATTTGATTCGCTTCAGGGCCCAGAAAAGCTATCCAGGGCTGGAAGCTTGCGTAACGAGTGCGGCATCAGAACAACCGCGGCGGTTGGCCGCGGTTACTCCGGGCCCTACCGATGGGTGCCCCTGTGGCCTAGGTGGTAAGGGAGGCAGCCCATCAGCCGGAGGTCCCGAGTTCGAACCTCGGGGTGGGGAGATCTGGGTGACGCTTTTTTTGGTCAACCAATCTCCGCCGCCGCCGCCGCGGGCCTTGAAGCACCCTAAACTCTAAAACAAATACACTGCCAGCGAGAAAATTTTGCAGAGGACGTGAAGACCCTTTTAAAAACATTGTTGTCGCTGTCACAGCGACTACAATGTGTCTGAGACACATTATAGTGTCTTCACGTCCTCTGCGAAATTTTCTCGCTGGCAGTGAAATACCCCCATGCCCCAAACCCTGACCCTAAACCCTCAAGACCGTGTTGCGCCCGCAGAACAACCGAGGGCAAGGGCCGCCGAACCAAGGCGGCGGCACCGCTGGGTATTCCCTCGCCGCTATCGAGGCACCCGGGGCTTCGTTTAAAAGTCGAGAACAGAAACCCGGTTCTGGCTTTTTTATTTTAAAAGTCCATTTCCCTGAGGATTGAGGTGAAAGTTTTTGAGCCCCGTTAAAATTGAATGACGTCCTCGCTCGGCAGCGGTACACCCTACACCCTCAACCTGCCTCGCCTGATTCTTGGAAGGGGTCGCCAAAAGTCAATTCCTCCTCAAGGCAAGGTTTTTTAAAAGTTTACTCCCGTATCCTCAAACGGGTTCAAAAATCCAACCCCCTCCTCCAATCTGGCGGGGTGACCACCAGCAACCCAAAGCAGCTTATAACCGGGTCGGGTACTGTAGTGATTTTCAGCTAGACCGATGAGATCTCTTCGGTATCTCCCGTCAGCAATTCTCAGGTCCCTAGGGCCTCCTACGGTAGGGTCCTACGCAAAAATCCATAAAACGAATTCCATTCCCGGATTCTTGCAAGGATCCGGTAAAAGCTGCTACGGGTTGCTGGTGGACTCTCTCTCTCTCTCTCTCTCTCTCTCTCTCTGTAGCTGGTGGGAGCATGCCACGGCGTTGTAGGAGGTGGAGATAGAATCCATCCGGAAATTGCTCGTATGAGCGGCCGACACGGGGTACAGTGTGTGGCACAATGCGGAAGGCATGTGCGGCGCTGACGCTGGTTGTTTGGCAATAAATTATCAATCTCTCTAAGAGTAAGAGTAGGAGCGACCTCGCAGAAGGCCTCGGGAACCTGTGAGGGACCCTGTGAGGGACCCTGTGAAGGACCCTGTGAGGGACCCTGTGCCGGGTCTGTCTCTCTCTGCCACGGCGTTCGAGCGGGAGGTGTAGCGGGACGGGAATGTATACAATCCTTAAAGTTAATTGTCTTCAGGTAAGTTGACTTGTGATGAAAGGTTCGTAGTCCACCGTGTGGGCCCGCAGCTCCCCTCGAGACCCAGCAGCTCAACTTGCAACCACACAGCGGACTTCGAGGGGGGTTTGAATAACCCCTGAGCGACAAGACCCAGGACCCTACGGTAGACAACCCGTAGGGACATAGGGGGGTTCCTACGCGGTCGTCAGGTTCTCGGGTGAGGATGGCGCAAACCGCGTGTGTGCCTCGGACAGGTGACGAGCCTCGGCAATTGACCATACCGGCAGATGCGACGACGGCGCTACCTGCGTTGAGTGAGAGTTTTCCTAGACTCATAACCTTCTAGCCTTGGTTCCTAGACTCATAACCTTCAAGCCTTGGTGCCCTTAGAGCCTGGAACAACCGCGGGCAGAAATCGAGGCAGTGGGACCACGGGGTATCCTTAACCCGAAACCCGAAACCCGAAACCCGAAACCCGAAACCCGAAACCCGAAACCCGAAACCCGAAACCCGAAACCCGAAACCCGAAACCCGAAACC